ATCATGCCTACACCTGCAAGGGCTAAAATTATTAAAATAAGCTCACTAATTTGTGAAGTAAATCTCACACAGACTAACGGTAGAATGCTCCGGTACCACTTTGTGAAAATACTACTCACGTATTTGTGAAGGAGATGTCGAAAAAGGAGAGACAAAGAGACGAAGGACACTGATCTTATCAAAAAGCCTTTTCTATTGGTCTGTATTTCTTTTATCTCTTCTCTCTTTTTGCTCCATGACTTCACAATAGAAGAATTAAGTATTTATAAGTTTTCTGACTCTAATAATAGGTATGAGAGAGCACTCATCAACCTACTCATCATTCCTACAAAGGCTTTGGGCCTTTTCTTTCACCTGACTCTTCAAATTAACTTTCCTAACAAATTAACTAAAGTTAACGTTTAGCATTTTTAAGTTTATTTCAACAAAACTCCCTCATGAACTTAAATGCTCCTACCATTTGTCATGCCAATCATCTTCTTGTATTTATCGAAAAGTACTTTCGGTAGCGGTTTTGTAAAGATGTCCGAAACTTGATCCTGATTTGCCCCATGCTGCAATTCCACGCTTCCTTCCTTCACATGATCTCGGAAAAGGAAAATCGAACGTCAATGTGTTTGCTTCTTTCATGGTTCACTAGGTTCTTTGCCAACTCAATTGTTGATTTGTTGTCAACTTGAATCACGATTGCACCTCGTTGCTTTAGCTCCATCTTGCTCAACAAATTTCTAAGTCATATTGCATGACACACACACCAAGACGCTGCTACATACTCAGCTTCACACGTCGAGAGTGTCACGATCGGTTGTTTCTTTGAAAGCCAAGTAAATGTGTGTTGCCCATGAAGAATACATAACCCGATGTACTTTTTTTATCATCTATGTCTCCGCACCAATCACTGTCAGAGTAACCAACTAATTTGTAATCTTTTGTTTTCGAGTAGAATAACCCAAGTGAACCGTTCCTTGGATGTACCGTAGGACTCGCTTCAACGCCTTCCAATGTGAATAAATTGGCTCCTCCATGAACCGGCTCATAATCCCGACACTTAATGAAAGATTTGGCCTTATGCATGTAAGATAGCGAAGGCTTCCTACTAGGCTCCAGTGCCTATTTGCATCTACTCGTTCTCCTTCATCGTACTTTGAGAGTTTTGTATATTTGATCAACGGAGCTCAAAGTTCTACTCGTTCTCCTTACATCTTGTACTTCTTCAAAATCTCCTTTGCATATTTCTCCTGTGATATAAAGATACCCGTCTCTCCTTGCTTAACCTCCAAACCAAGGAAAAACTTCAACAAGCCCAAGTCTGTCATCTCAAATTCTCGTGTCATTGTGTTTTTGAACTCTTCTATCATTTCATCATTGTTGCTTGAAAAAATGAGGTCATCGACATAAAGAGCAACAAGTATCACATTACCTTCACTCTTCTTTGTGTAAAGTGCATGCTCGTGGGGACATTGTTTGTACCCCTTCTCCTTGAAGTATGTATCGATACGAGTATTCCATGCTCGTGGTGCTTGTTTCAACCCGTGTGCCTTCTTCAATTTTAGTGTTTTCTTCAATTCTCGTACCTTCTTCTCTTCTCCAATTTTCATGTACCCGGGTGGTTGTTCGAGGTAGACTTCTTCTTCAAGCACACCATTCAAGAATGCCAACTTGACATCCATTTGAAAAATCGGCCATTGGAATTGAGCTGCTTGGGAAATGGGCAATCGGATTGTCTCCATTCTGGCGACGGGAGCAAACATTTTGTCATAGTCGATTCCCGCCTTTTGCTTGTACCCCTTCGCAACAAGTCGCGCCTTGTACCGCTCTATCTTGCCTTGAGCATTCATCTTTTTCTTGAATACCAACTTCACACCTATGGGCGGACTTCCTTCCAGTAATTCTACCACCTCCCATGTATTGTTGCAATGAATCGCTTTAATCTCCTCATCCATGGCAGTTTGCCACTTCTTGTCTTGCACCGCCTCTTCAAAGCTGATATTTTCAGCATCTGCCAGAAAACATACAAGGTGTACCTCATTTGTTGAGTCATACAAGTCTCGCAAACTTCGCATTTTGGGTTGTCGTGGTTCATCTTCATCATTGGAAATTTCTGAGTCTTTTGGTGCACTTGTTGGTGCAACGACTGATGATTCTCCAACTTCGATATTGACTTCCGTTGAATTGTTCCAGTCTCATTCACTTGCTTCATTTACTCGCACATCACGACTCAAGTAGCTTGTATTCTTTTGTCTTCTCATCATATCCAATAAAAATATACCTTTTGCTTTTGTCTTCGAGCTTCGTTCTTCGTTGATTCGGTACGTGAGGATAAGCCACACTACCGAACACTTTAAGATGAGAGATTGTTGGATTTTGTCCGCTCCAAGCCTCTTGTGGTGTTTGATCATCTAACTTCGCATGTGGACATCGATTTTGTACGTAGATGGCGCATTGCACAGCTTCTGCCCAAAATTCCTTTGATATCCTTTTGCTCTTGAGCATTAATCGAACCATGTCGAGAATGGTCTAGTTCTTTCTCTTGGCCACACCATTTTGTTGAGGGGTATACGGTGCGGTTACAAATTGCCTTATGCCTTTGTAAGGACCCAGATCCACCGCTAGCAAATATCGTCCTCTTTGGGCTCTCCCTTTCGGGCTTTCCCTCAAGGCTTTAAAACGCATCTTCTAGGGGAAGGTTTCCACACCCTTATAAATGGTGGTTTATTCTCCTCCCCAACCAATGTGGGACATCACAATCCACCCCCCTTCGGGGCCCAGCGTCCTCGCTGGCACTCTTTTCTTCCTCCAATCGATGTGGGACCGCCCCAAAATCCACCCCCCTTTGGGGCCCAGCGTCCTTACTGGCACACCGACTCGTGTCTACCCCCCTTTGGGGAACAGTGAGAAGGCTGGCACATTGTCCGATGTCTGGCTCTAATACCATTTGTAACAACCCAAAATAAACAACCTCAAGTCGTGACTAACGATGACTGACATGTAGTGTGTAAGCGAGAAATTCAAGGAAAACATTATTTCAAAAGTATTTCATTTATTTCGTAAGAAAAACGTTTCATTACTAAAAGGACATATGTGTCTAGGTAAAAACAAAAAGAGAAACATGAAAGACAAAGTGTACTAATCAGTAAAACTAGACTGACGCCCCGAGACACGCTTCCTCTGTGACAACCCACATCGATCAACACTCCCTCTCTTGACTCGACGCCTCACGTACCTGAAAAGAAAAAGATATAGCAAAAATGAGTATAAAAATTATACTCCGTATGCCATCTACTTGTAGGCTCTTATCGCATTCCAATTACGACAAACTTCTACGGTCTTATTCTTTGGCTTTAGTACATCTAGCTCCGGTCTTAGCTCCTTGGGGTTTCTTTGGTACTCCGTCCTATCATTTATACCTTAAGAGTTCCCTTATGCCATAATATGTTTGATTGGTACTCTACGGGTAGCTACCTCGGCATGGCTATGAGACTACCTGGTATCATATCTAGGAAGTGAGCTGCAACCCCCTAGTCCCACGATAATCCCCCATCCAGCTAAATGGTCAGTTTCAACGTGGGTCTCCCGTTTCCCATGCTAAAACGGCTTTAGAGCAGATGAGTCCTGATCAGGAACCCCCTGGTCTCCCACAAAGCATTATCACCAATCGCACACAGTTAACCTAAGGGTTCCTTAGTGGCAGTCCGTTTACCGTGGTAGTTTCTTATGCTTCTAAGGGAAAGGTCAGGTCTATACTTAGAGTCTTGTTACTCTAACCACGAATCCCTAGACTTAATCATAAAAGTGGGCCATGAAAATTAACTGAGTACGTACATAACTATCATCCAACATCATCATACAATTTTCATGTAAGGTAAACATACAAGCTCAACGGGGTGATAATATCCATCAACTCCCAGAGTGCAGATTTCGCAAATTCTCATACTCCTTTCAGCATGAAATATACATGTACATAGTAAGCGGAAACTTAAAGCATAACTACAATACTCAGGTAATTCTCATAATAATTCACCCAATACATCTTACTTTTAATAATCAATTACCTACATATTATCACGGAAAGCTACGACCTAAAATAATTAAACTAGCATGCATGCATTCCAAGCGACTCCTATAAGTATTACTTCCTAAAATTTCGTGTGGTGACTTACTTGGATAATGTGTGCCCTAACGCAGCGTTTCACACAATTGGCGTATCAAAAGGTAGTGATTTTCCTCAATTAGGTCCTATTTCATATAAAATGGAGTTAGGATTCGAATGAAGAGGAAAATAGGAAAAATAGAAGTCAAACGGATCGAAAATGGACTTACACGCGCTTCCACGCGCCTAGGTGCAATCACTTGCAAGCTCCACGTGCGAGTGTCACGCGCCCAGGATTTTCTACAGCCATGGGTTGTCGGTTCGGTTCGGAAATAGTGGTTCGAGTGGACCGGGGGTCGTCGATTCGGTTTGTTTCGCCGTGCGGGTACCAGGTCAACCGAGGAATGCGGGTCGGGTTGCGATGCCGGGGACGTGTGTCGAAGGAAGGCTGGAGCTGCGTTTTCCCAGGCGGTGTTCAACGCGTGTCCGAAGGTGGTTGGTGCACGCAGTCCTCTAGCCGGTTGACACGTGGCATGCTGACGGCTTCTCTCTTCCAGCAGAAAAACAAGGTTTCCGATTAGTTTTCTGACGTACTTCCCATTTTCTATCTCTCGATTCTTAATCCAGACAGTAATGGCTTCTTCAACAAAGTTTTAGATCATACTTCAACCTACGTGCCAATATTTTTTTCTTGATTTTTACTTAGTCATACGACGAGTTATGAGCGTCGAAAAGAGATCCGGTAACATCCTTACCATTCTTGGAAAGATTCTCACATCTCACGTTTCGTCCGATTTCCTCACAAAATCAGTGCAAATCTTCCCTGGATGAAGGTAGTAGTAAACTTAAACACTCTACTCCCAAACAAAAATCTCAGATCTGGTCTGAAGAGTATCATTCGAGATCTTACCTTGCGGGTTTTCTTTCTGATCTTGACGAAAGAGGTGGAAATCTCAACAACACGAGTTCTTTCTTCTCTCCAAGAAGGACTCCAGAGTGTAGGTCTTAGTAGGGAATGGATTTCGTCGGTGACTCTCCGACGAAGACTCCGGCTATTCAGTTTTCTCTCTCAAACTTTCTCTCAACCTTCTTTCTCACACTTCTCTCTTTTGCAGGTATTCTGTGGAGAACCCTCAAGACCCCTATAATGGTATGAGGGGTAAAATGCCCATTTTGCCCCTTGGACTTTGACCGAATTTTTTTTTTTTTTTTTTTTGGCGTTACAAACTCTCCCCTACTTATAAACTTTCATCCCCAAAAGTTGGTATCTCTTGGAAGAGTTCTGGATAGGCTCTCCTTACATTATCTTCTTGTTCCCAGGTTGCCTCCTCGTGTCGATGGTTACCCTATGTGACTTTCACCAAGGGGATAACTTTGTTGCGTAGCGCCTAGTGTCTCGAGCCAGAATTTTACTGGGTCTTTCCTCGTAGGACAGATCTTCCCGTAGAGGAAGGGTTTTGTGTCCAATCACATGAGTAGGGTCTGTGGTGTACTTCCGCAGCATAGACACGTGGAACACGTTGTGAACGACGGTAAGGTTTGGTGGTAGAGCAATCTTATAAGCCACGGCCCCAACTCTCTCTAGAATCTCGAAAGGGCCTATAAACTTTGGGCTTAACTTTTCCTTCTTTCCAAACCACATCACCCCCCTCATAGGGGTTACCTTCAAGAACACATGGTCACCCACCTCAAACTCGAGGACCCTTCTACGCAAATCTACATAGCTCTTCTGTCGGCTCTGTGTAGTGAGGATTCTTTGCTTAATTTTCTACACTGTTGAGTTGGTGACCTGAACCAACTCTGGTCCCAGTAGTTGCTGCGTGCCTACTTCTTCCCAAAATATTGGTGTTCGACACTTACGCTCATACAGTGCCTCAAAAGGAGCCATTTGGATGGTTGCTTGATAACTATCATTGTAAGCAAACTCTATCAGTGGTAGGTGTTCATCCCAGCACCCAGCGAAATCCATGACACAGGCTCGCAACATATCTTCTAAGATTTGGTTCAGTCTTTCGGTCTGTCCGTCCGTTTGAGGATGTAATGATGTACTAAACCTTAGCTAAGTCCCCAATGCTTTTTAGAGGCTTTTCCAAAACTGAGAGATGAACCTAGTGTCCCGATCAGATACTATAGACACCAGTACACCATGCAGGCATACTATCTCTCTGATATACAGCTGAGCCCACCGATCCACACGATAAGTGATTTTGCCTGGGATGAAGTGAGCTATTTTGGTAAGTCTATCAACAACTACTTAGATTACGTTGAAACTCTGCTTGGTCTTGGGCAAGCCCGAGATAAAATCCATGCAAACTGCTTCCCATTTCCACTGAGAGACCTTTAAAGGTTGTAGCAGTCCTGCTGGGCGCTGTCTTGTGGCCTTCACCTGTTGACAGGTCAAGCATCGGCTTACAAAATCTACTATCTTCTTTTTCATCTCTGACCACCAATAACATCCCTTAAGATCCTGATACATCTTTGTACTTCCAGGGTGGAACGTGTAAGAAGTATCGTGAGCTTCTGTCATAATATCCTTCAGAATTTTCTTGTCACGGGGAACACATAGGCGATTTTTCCACAGCAGACCCCCATCTGAAGAGATTCAATACCCCACTGATCTTTCAGTCTCTATCTAATTCCACAGTTTCCTAAGATGTTCATCAGACCTCTAAGCGTCAATAATTTGTTTTCGTAAGGTGGGTTGCATGGTCATTTGTGTTATCTGAGCAGTACCACCTTTGATTACATCATCGATTCCAGCCCTCTTCATCTCATCCTGTATTCTTTCCTACTTAGTGATCATCGCGAAAGTATGAACCGCCTTTCTGCTCAATGTGTCTGCCACGACATTGGCCTTGCCTGGATGATACAGGATCTCGATGTCATAATTCTTTACTAATTCCAACCATCTCCTCTGTCTCATGTTAAGCTCCTTCTACGTAAATAGATACTTGAGACTCTTGTGATCAGTGAATACTTGGATTTTCTCTCCATACAGATAATGTCGCCACGTTTTCAGTGCACACCACTGCTGCTAACTCGAGGTCATGAGTGGGATAATTTCGTTCATAATCCTTCAGTTTTCTAGAAGCGTAAGCTATCACTTTACCCTTCTGCATGAGCACGCATCCTAGACCTTTTCCCGATGCGTTGCTGTACACCACTAGATTCCCTAAACCATCTGAAACCGTCAGGACTGGTGCTGTCACCAACCTTTCCTTGAGTTCCTGAAAGCTCTGTTCACACAAAGGGTTTGCTCTTCTTAGTTAATTGAGTTAGCACCGAAGATATTTTAGAGAAATCCTAGACAAACCTTCTGTAATAACAAGCTAGTCCGAGAAAACTTCGTACTTCAGTGACTGTGGTGGGTCTTGGCCACTTCATCACTGCCTCTATCTTAGCTGGGTCCACTGTGATTCCTCTACTTGACACCACATGACCCAAAAACGCTACCTCAGACAGCCAAAACTCACACTTGGAAAACTTGGCGTACAGTCATTGTGTTCTCAGTACAGTTAGAACTTTTCTCAAATGCCCTTTGTGCTCTGCTTCTGACTTAGAGTACACCAGAATGTCATCAATAAATACTATAACAAAAGTGTCTAAGAACTTCTTAAACACCCTGTTCATTAGTTCCATGAAGACGGCTGGTGCATTGGTAAGTCCAAAGGACATGACGAGAAATTCATCTTTCTAGCCTTTAGTGCAGTTACGACGCTTGGGGTTCTTTTGGAAGTGGCTCTCTCATATGTAAAACTATCCCCTAACGGGAGTCCGAGAGTAAGTATTCGAGTTTCACAATCTATTAGTGCGCGATTCTCGTCTAGCCAATTCATCCCCAAAATTACTTCGAAGTCTTGCATGCTTAATACTATTAACACAGCTTCTATGACACGGCCCGACACTGTCACACTCCTTTAACTCTATGAGTAGCCATTAATAACTCGTGAGTGGATACTGATAGAATGATCTCTAAAGATTCTTTTTCTAGGTGCGCTAAGTCAACGAATTCCTCAGACACAAACGAGTGTGTAGAACACGAATCAAAGAGTACAAAAGCCAAATGACCAAAGACAGGTAGTATACTTGTAACAACTGCGTCAGGTGTGTCGGCCTGCCTGCCTGTGGTTGCATGGGCTACAGCTCGCCCCTGCTGCTGTTGGGCACCCCGACCCCTTTGATTCTTTACTGCATGTCGATTAGAATTATGATCTCTCCTATGAAGACAGTTTGCAACAAAGTGTCCTGTTTGGCCACAATTGTAGCATACATCAGTGCCTTGTCGACATTCCCCTAGGTGAGGGCGCTAACACTTAGGACATTGATTTCTGTTCTGTTCTGTGCTGGGGCTCTTCCGCGATTGGCAGCGCAACCACGAAGTGGTTTGCCAGTCCTGGGATAGTTTCGATTTATCTGTTTTCCCTAGACTGCGATCTGGGATTTTTGGGCTGACCCTGCCTGTCATTTGTCAGTACAAGGCGTATTAATGAGGGCTGCCGTCTTGAGAGCTGCTGCATAGTCTGTGGATGCCTGTGATGCCACATAACCTCTAATGTTCTCCCTTGGACCAGCGACAAAACGTTCAGCCTTAAGCTCTTCAGTACTGACATATATAAGGGAGAATATAGCCAATCTATTGAATTCCAGATCATAATCCTCCAAAGATAGGTCACCCTGTTTGAGTTCATGAAATGTTGCCTGCAGCTTCATTCTAGCAGCGACTGGATAGTATTTGCAGAGGTAGGCCTCTTTGAACTAACACCAAGGAATAGGCTCTCCAAACGGTGCAATCATTTTTTTAGCACCCTTCCACAAAAAATGAGCCTCTCCTTCCAACAAATACGTTCCACAATGAACCTGATATTCCAGTAGACAGTTTATGTAAAAGAAGGTTTTTTCCATAGCCTCGAGCCAATTTTCTACTGCAATGGGATCTATTTTGCCCTTCATAGGAAGGCAGGTTTTGCCTCTAGAAGTCTTTAAGATAACGAGCCTCTACAGTCATAGTCCCAGAGTCTCTGGTCCCTAGCAATGCTGTCGGTTGCATTGCTGCCTATTGTAATGTTGTCTGTTGGAGCGTTGCCTATTGTATTGCTTGTTGCATTGTATCCTGGTTAGTGACCAGTGTTTGCATCATCTGAGTCATTTAAGCCTGGTTTTCCATAGAGGTTAACATAAATGATTGTAGTACATTTGTAGTGAGGTTAGTTGTTGGCTGCCTAGGTGGAACCTCCACATTATTAGTGGGAACTGGTGGGACCGCTTCAGGAGGAGGAGCAGTAGAGTCTGCATCAGGTAATTCTTGAGTCACTGCTTTCTTTTGACTCATTCTTGACCTTGGTGCCCGTGGTATAGGACACTCAAACCATTGGGGCATTTCATCAACCTCCTCTTAAGGTTCAGGTACAAGTTGTTCCGCCTCAAGTGACAGGACATCAGTGTCCTGAACGACTCTTCTTCTTCCCCTTCTAGGTCCAGGCCCGAGATAGGTTCTACTCCTCTTTGGTGCCATTTAGCTACCACAATAGAAAATTTGCGGTTACATTTCATTCAAGGTACAACCTCTAGGAAATGTGCAGTACAACACAAGAGAACAGTCATGAAAAATTCTCTACTTCACATCTTAACTCTTAATTTCGCAATTCAAATTCGTGAGACTGTCTGGTCGCGAGCGGCACGTGATTGATGGGCGGGTCATAGAGGATACGACTCTCTAACCTAAGTGTCTACAGGACCTATGTCCTGGTGCTCTGATACCAAATTTGTAACGACCTAGATCCACCGCTAGCAGATATTGTCCTCTTTGGGCTCTCCCTTTCGGGCTTTTCCTCAAGGCTTTAAAACGCGACTGTTAGGGGAAGGTTTCCACACCCTTATAAATGGTGGTTTATTCTCCTCCCCAACCAATGTGGGACATCACAGCCTTACTCCTGGAAATACTCCATGAACGCCGTCGAAGTATACTCGCCACGTCTATCGGATCGTATAGCTTTGATGTGTCTACCATTTGCCTTCTCCACCATCACTTTGAACTTTTTGAACACCTCGAATGCCTCGGATTTTTCTTTCAGAAAGTAAGCCAATCTTTTCTTGAGTAATCATCGATAAAGGAAATGAAATACCTCTTTTCGATGAAAGACTTGGGGGTAATTGGTCCAAGTATATCTGTATGGATCAACTCGAGAGGTTGTTTAGCCCAAAATTCAGCCTTCTTTTGAATTGAGGTTCTTGCATGCTTGCTGAGCACGCATTCTTCACAAAAATTTCCTTCAAAGTCCATGTTGAGTAGCCCATGCACCATATTCTTCTTCGCTAACTCCTTTAGGCTGCCATGACATAGGTGACCAAAGCGGAGATGCCACAGTGATGCCTTGTCTTCTACATCGATTCGCAAACACTTTTCTCGCGTGCTTCTTAAACTCAGTTTGTACATCCAATTTCTTCCTATCTCGACTCGAGCAACCAAACACCCTTGCTTATCCTTCAGGTGTAGCAGGCAGCCCTTTAAGAATATCGAGTAACCTTTCTCTGTGAGTTACCTCATACTCAATATGTTGGTCTTGAGGTCTGGTACGTAATAAACATCTTGGATTGACCCCATTAAACCATCCTTTTGCAAGAAATGTATCGTACCTCGGCCTTTGACCTCCACCTTTGACACATCTCCAAATGACACATGACTATCTTCAATCTTTTGCATCCCTTTGAATACGTGACCGCACATATGGTTTCTTGCCCCTGAGTCGAGGTACCACAGAGTGTCATTGTTGATGTTGTCTTCATTTTGAGCCATCAAGAGAATACCTTCGTTTCTTGCGTCATCCAAAGCTAGGTTGATTGTTTCTTCCACCTTTTTCTCGGCTCGACAATCTCTTGCAAAAATGTCCCACTCTGCCACAATTGTAACAATTGTCGGAGTTACAATCATTCGCATAGTGACCATATTTTTTACATTTATAGCACTAAATGTTTGAATAATATCCTTGACTGCATCCTCTTTCATGTCAATTTGCTTGGCTCAACTGTCTCTTCTCTTTATAATGTCCTTCATTTCTACTGTCTTGACCACCTCGACCATTTCCGCGACTTTCTCGACCTCTACCTTGAAAATTTTGATGCTCTCCAACTCGCCATGAAGAGTTTGGAGATGAACTTGCTTGACTCGGTCGGTTCCTTTGAACATCTTTTCCAAAGTGTCCCACGCTTCTTTTGAAGTAGTTGCCCTTGCAATCTTCTCAAAGCCCGACTCGTCAACAGCTCGGAACAACATGTATAATGCTTCCTTATCCTTTGATCGCAATTCTTTTAACGTCTTATTTTGTGCCGCCGTGTAACTCGTGGTATCCTTTGGTTCTTTGAAACCTTCTTCGACCACTTCCCATGCATCTTGAGAACCGAGAAGAACTTTCATTTGGATGCTCCAATTCTCATAGTTCGTCTTCATTAGTCGCGGTAGCGGCATTTAACCCATCACATTCGACATCGGCTGTAATACCAATTTGTTAAAATGACTCATTAATTTATGAAGTATATCTCACACACACTGACAATAGAACGCTCCGATACCACTTTGTGAAGGAGATGTCGAGAGAGAAAAGACGAGGAGATGAAGGACACTGGTTTTATCAAAAAGCTTTTTCTACTCTGTATTTCTTTTCTCTCTTGTTCTCTTTTTGCTGTCCGACTTTACAATAAAAGGATTAGGTATTTATAAGTTTTCTAACTCTAATAATAAGTATGAGAGAGCACCCATAAACCTATCATCATTCGTCCAAGGGCTCTGAGCCTTTTCTTTAACTTTACTTTTCAAATTAACTTTCCCAACAAATTAACTAAAGTTAACATTTAATATTTTTAAGTTTATTTCAACAAAAATACCCCAAAATGTACTACAGGGGACATGACTAGTTGTCAACTTCTTCCTACCCGATACTTATATGTAGTAAGCCGTTGTTGTTGCCTTTTTGCTTACATTCTCATATAACACCATTTCCAATTTCTTAAATCTTGCTTTCAAAACTCTCTTTCAAAATCTCTTTGCCCTCATTTTCTAAAAATTTTCTTCTTGAACCGGGGCCAAAAGCTCGAGCATATATCGTTTGGTCGTAGACGACGCAAGAACGAATAGGCTTAACTCACTTGTTGCTGGGAAGTGAGTGTCGCACAATCGCAAGTCCGCTGCCATCAAAGTGCGATTGTGACACTAAGCATGAGAATAAAAAATTGGTTCACCTCGAGATGAGATTCACCATCCAGAAGATATGTGGCACTAGAACCTGATGAACAACTTCCAGACTCCAATAGGGTCTATGATGTTTAAGAGAACTGCTCGAAACTTCAAGACTTACTCAGAAGCTCAACTAGTTGTGAAATTAGGCATGAACTTCTTAGAGCTCAAAGAAAAGCCTGTAGTACATACTAGGTTAAGGATGCGATGAGAGATTACAAGTAGGTTCCTTGAGAGCCTACAATTTGGATGAATAAGCTATATAAGATGTAAGATATTACTAAACCGCAACTAGGATGAATTTTGATATGAATGTAATATGTGATTCATGCGATTGATGGATGTTATCTCCTTTTTAAGTTTGTATGAATGTTTAGTTTACATTTTTTGGTGCCTTAGGTGATTGATATAATCATCTCCCTAATAAACGTGCACGAATATTTAGTTCATGAATATCATGCTCTAGATGATCGATGGAATAATCTCCCTAGTAAATTATGGACAAGAAAACCAAGTTAAGACTAGGGCGCAAGAGTTAGAGTGGTTTCGAGTTGATTTAGGCCACTATATTTCAGGTAGATCGAGCACTCAAGATAATGAGCGACGATCAAAGGTTTAAACATTTGTACACCTAGAGAATGAATTAGCTCAAGGAGTTAGTCTTAGATGTCATAGAAACGAGAGACGAGATTTAAATTTCCTAGATACCATTAGGAACCTAATAAACCTCCACCGCATCCAAGGACGACCAAGGTAGCTTTCTAGACTATCAGCCGTATGAATGATGTCATCAAACTCTCCTACCTTTTCCACTCTGGTAGCAATACTATCAAGCTAGACATAGACTGGTTCGGGTAATGCGTGCCTCAACCTTGTAGAAATGGCCAAGGGTATCTTGAAAATGGTCACTATGTTGTAAACCTATCCATGAGAGGGGGATGTGGGACCACGTAGATTGACATAGTAGTTGGCCAACCCACGGTGGATCACCTTCCCAAAACTTATGTGACTTTATGGTTTTGTGGGAGAGTCCATTAGCTAAACTTCCATGGATGATATTCAGACTAGAAAACATCACATTCCATCTAGAAATAGGAGTTCTCATTTTCAATAGAGGTTTGTTTACAAGTGAGGAACTGTCCCATTAAAACTTTATGAGGTAGCGCTTGAACCCAAGTCGTCAGTCATTCATTGTGTAAACAAAGCAAGCTACTAAGTATAAGACCAAAAAAGTAGTTCTCCCTAGGATGAGATTTATCGCCCAATAGACCTGGGAAGCCAGAAATGGGTGAACCACCTCCTCCGAACCCGAAGCCATAATGTATCCGTGAGCAAAACAAATTGAAAACTAAGAGAGAGACAAAACCCAATTCAACCCATATTGCTTTCATTTTCTTTTTCCCCCTTTTTCAATATCATAAGAGATATTTAAAGCAAATTTAAAACCCAATTGAAGATTCAAAGCATATCAAGAAAAGTTGTAAATAAAAAGATGAAGAATGAAAATAGAATTGAATCAAAACAACAACAATGAAGATGAATTGGAGAAGATGAATTGGAGAAGATGAATTGGAGAAGTTTAAGGTGATTTTGAACTCCGAAGAAAAAAGATTTGAAAAATAAATAATAAATTCATGAATTGCTGTGGGAATATTTCCCGTATACAAATGATATTTACGTCCGTATCCATCAATTTGTTACAAAGAATCATAGAAGAAAATGAACAATTACATACAACAAATTTTAAATGTGGGAATGTATAGAGCTGGTCAGAAAACTCGGATACTTCCACTTAATTCCGCCCACCTGTTCGTGCGAGACAAGTATACGATAATCTCTTGCCCCGATCAACTCGATGATCGGAGAAATCATAGCTTCAGCTTTCTCTATGGCTATGGCTTCTTGGCCTGCACCACCAACACCAACAACAATGTCCTAAGAACAGAACAGAACAGAACAGAACAGAACAAAAAGTCATTACCTTTTTTAGATATTTCTTGTGAAGCTTCATTGCTCCAGTGCATGCTTTCTTGGCATCCAGATTTCCAGTCATGTCGTTCAATATCTATCACACAACAAAACGAGACAATAAGAAACCATCAATCGATTCGACTGGAATGCTTACAGCGAATACGACAAGTCTCAAACCTTCACAACATCGTCGAGACCCCGAGCTTCTGTAAGCAGCTTTGTGCTCTTATCTTTCAACACACTAGCAACAAGGAAAACAGAGATTGGAAGAGGAGCTTGTGAGTTCTTTGCTTTCAAGTTCTCCCTCTCGTATTTCCCGCATTGACGTATCGCTTTTGCTTTTCCTTTCGACCCATCGCCTTTATCACTGCACACATCAGGTTCTTCATACACTGTGAACTGATCAGGATCATATTCCAGTGCCCACATCATCTGTTGCAGCAACACCAAAAGTGTCAAATATTATGCCATTTTTTATGCCATCTTCACCCAACATAGCATCATCAATACAGATATAGTAAAGTACCTCCCAGAGATACAAAGAATCGCAAAACGAAAACTCTCGACGAAACAAAACCATAAGCATCCTGAAAGCGAAAAGATAATCGCCACCACCAAGTGTCTCTGTGTTCATACAAACCAAACCACACATTCAATTGTTACATATTCAGCTCAAATTGTAATAATATAAGTCCATGAGCAATACCCAAGTGTTGATGGAGCTTTGGATCAATCACTTGCGTGATAGCAGCCAGATTACTGAGTTGAGTCTCCACACCGACAGAGCTATCCGTGCATCGAAAGTTCCCTCGCTTTATAATTTCAAAAATAATAATACTTCATCAGAATCTAAAAATGCAAATATATTTGGAATCTCAAGACTATCTGCGTAAAACAAGCAAACAAAGAACTTGATCGATTGATGAAGAAGGGTTAGTACCAATCTGCGCATCAAACGTTCAAAGCACCAAAACGCATCGCCTTCATCCTCGAGAAGCATTATCATGGGGGAACAAAGATCACTCATTCCTACTCAAACATATTCATAAAGTCAGGTTTAAAACATGTACTTTCTCCAAAGAAATGGATAATTCCATGGCAGAGTCGTCAATCGATAATCTAGAAAACCTATCTCGTTTTTCAGAAGAGAAAGGCTTTAACGAAATTACGCACCTTGACAGTAGCCAACGTCTTTATCGATCCAAGCATAAACAGCAAGAATATCCCAAAGTTTCGACAAGTTTTCTTGCTTTTCATAGAACACCAATGTTCTGTCAGTCCGAACCACATCAAGACCTGGAATGAACATTTAAATACTGATCAGCTTAACTACAAACTGAGTTATGTCACAAGAAGACCACTACTTGAAGTAGATGAAGCAAATAAGTATTAGAAGTGACGAAATTTGACCAATCTGTGAATGTATGCAATTAAAGCTTCTACTAACCTATCTGATGTAAAGTAAGCATCCACTGAATTATTTTTGGATCAGTCACAGGTGCCATACTGTTAGAGGAATTTGATTGTGACTTTGATTGTGGAACATTCGGATCCGCATCAGCATTGGCATTGGCATCGGCATCAGCATTGACATCGGCATCGGCATCCGCATTGGCATTGGCATTGGCATCGGCATCGGCATCCGCATTGGCATCGGCATCGGCATCAGCATCAGCAACAGCATCGGCATTGGCAACAGCAACAGCATCGGCAACAGCATCAGTAACAGCAACAACATCAGTATCGGCAACAGCATCGGCATCGGCAACAGCAACAGCATCCGCATCCGCATCTGCAACGGCATCATCATCGGCATCAGCAACAGCATCCGCACCAGCATCAGCATCAGCTTCAGCATCAGTATCAGCATCGGCAACAGCATCGGCATCGGCATCGGCATCGGCATCGGCAACAGCAGCAACAGCATCGGCAACAGCAGCAACAGCATCGGCAATAGCATCGGCATTAGCATCAGCAGTGGCAACAGCATCAGGATTGGCAACAGCATCAGCATCAGGATTGGCAACAGTATCAGCATCAGTAACAGCATCAGAAACAGCATCGGAAACCGCATCGGAAACAGCATCGGAAACAGCATCCGCAACAGCAACGGCAGTATCTTGGGGTATAAGCGGACCACTCCCTGGATTTGTTTCCAAAAGTACAAGCGGATCATGAATAGGCGTACCATCCTCTGTGATTACAGGAGCTGTGATGTATCTACCACTTCCAACGACAGGAAACATCTGTCGACAGTCTTCCTTAAACGTAGCATACTGTATCCTGCAAGTACAAAAGCTCCCATCTAACCATTCGTGTAATTTAAAGAAGTCGTGCTACGATTTACCAGAAATTCTTAAATAATTGACAAGAAAACAACATGTTCCCATGAACATATGGTCAACAAGCTGCAAGGTATATTGGTTAGGATTTCATGATTACTTTATTACCAGCATTTGCCTATTAACTCTCGTTTATAGGAAACTATAGAGAACATTTTATACTAAGTTATTCGAATGGCCTCATCAGAGTCGCTTCGACGCTGAACTATGTAGATTATCAGAGTGGCTTCGCTCATAGTGCATCGAATTAGATTGAAATCAATTTAGTAACGTGAGAGAATTAAATAGGACTACCTTCGACGCTGGCGAATCTCTTCTCTTTCCTCATAGGTGCTGGTTGGATCATAACAACCAAGAAGAAACTCCCACACTTCTCCTCTGATTGAAGGATGGATCCCCTGTATTAGATGCAAATTTTGAAAAACAAGAACATTATCATTAGACCTTTGATTATTGCTATCTCGATCGCACAGTTTCTTGAATATTCTAAACCTTCCCAAAGAACAAACCATTTTCATTATGGAATGATCACAATGAAATTGAACGTACCCCACGATGAATGCGATTTAGAGTCTTCGCAATGTCCAGTTGGCCTTCGGGATTGAATGCTCCTTGCCATTTTCTAACACTCAAGGTCTTCCCAGCCTGCATCATGAAAAGGGAAGTTTAGAGTGTCCATGAAAAGTATGATCCTAGAATTGAAGATAAAGAAAAGGAAAAGGAAAGAGACCCTGATCTTGAAGCGGGTTTTGGGAACATCGGTGCACTCAGGGCGAACCTCATAGAAAGAATCAGCAGGAGCTCCAGCGTCCCTCCACATTCCCTCAAGACACCAGAATCACAACCCAGAGATGATTAGAAAGAAAAGCGATTAGAAAGCAAGAAATGCGGTGACCCCCAGAGATGATGAGACCCCAGAAGAGCAAAGAAGAGAAGAGGAAAAGGGAATGAAGGGAAAAGGGGAAAGAAGGAAGACCCAGAAGAGAAGAGGATGAGAAGAGGAGGGGTCCGTGGGGGCGGGGGGTGTGAGGGCTGGGTAGCAGATCCAGCTCCAAATAAGCAGATTAAGAACCCAAAAATAAATACAGAGAAGAAGAAGAGGAAAAAGGGGCGAAGAAAAATGGAATGAAGAAATTAATGGATACGAAGACATGGAAGTTGGGGGAATGGTTGAAAATGGAGAGGAACGAACCCTCTTCCTCATTTTGTCTTACTCTCTCAAATCAAACCGTTCATGTTTTTCGCGCAAACCCCACACCATTCCCTTCCTCTAACAAATTTAACCTCCCGAATCCTTCGCCTAATTGTTTTTCTTTTTTCTTTTTCTTTTTTTTTTTTTTTTT